TACTGTTATGCTAGCATTAGCGTACTGATAGTCTAGCATTAGCGGTACTGGTAGTGCTAGCATTAGCGGTACTGTAGTGCTAGCATTAAACGGAATTGGTATGCTAGCATCTACGGTACTGGTAGTGATAGCATTACGGAGTAGTGCTAGCATTACGGTAATGGATAGTGCTAGCATTAGCGGTACTGAGTGCTAGATTACGTGTACTGGTAGTACTAGCATTAGGGTACGATGTGCTACATTAGCGGTACTGGTAGGCTACATTAGTCGGTCTGTTGCTAGCATTAACGTTTATCTGTATGCTAGCATTAACGTATGAAGTGCTAGCATTTAGCGGTACTGTATGCTAGATTAGCGGGTTACTGGTATGCTAGCATTAGCGGTATGTAGTGCTAGCATTAGCGGTACTGGTAGTGCTAGCATTAGCGGTACTGATAGTGCTAGCATTAGCGGTACTGGTAGTGCTAGCATTAGCGGTACTGGTAGTGCTAGCATTAACGGTACTGGTAGTGCTAGCATTAGCGGTACTGGTAGTGCTAGCATTAGCGGTACTGGTAGTGCTAGCATTAGCGGTACTGATAGTGCTAGCATTAGCGGTACTGGTAGTGCTAGCATTAGTGGGTACTCAGAGAAGACGCTGGAAATAGCCTTACCCATCTTACTGCTGGGAGTGTTGATGATCTTCAGAGCATGACGTCAACACACACACATTGATGAAATGAGAGAAGTGTAGTTCAGAGAAGCCCAGGTGAATGTAGTCACAGTCCTCCTCAAGATAAGGCACAATACCCTGTAGGTCTTTCAGATACAATCCACTGACAACTTCGAGTATAGTCTTGTTGTCGTAGTCTGAGCAGACAGCTTTCTTCCTTATGAGCAAAACTCTACCTTCCGTTTTAGTTGGTTTCCAACACACTTCGAAAAACAACTTATTACTTAATGCTCTCAAAGTGTCCGAAACACCAAGTAATAACGATGCTTTGATGCACACAACTTGATAAAGTTTTACACAGAGGGAAACATTGTTCCAATAACAGCTTCTTCAGCAACCTCGATTTTTTCCTGTAATATTGTCTGTCATACAACTTGTGGAGCCACGACCCACCTAGCAGGGGGCAGCACTGTAGCCCTGCTCCAGTATGTCTTTACATTCTTATGAACTGACGCTTTCAAAGACAATACCACTATGATACTGACGCAACCAGTGACACAGCGTGAGTGCCGCACGGTGACACAGCATATGCTAGTGTCAGTGCCACAGTGTCAGTGCACACAGTATCAATGCCACAGTGTCAGCGCCACAGTGCCAATGCCCCAGTGTCAGTGCCACACAGTATCAGTGCCACACAGCATCAGTGTCACAGTGTCAGAGCCTGGAGCAGGGCAGGTTCTGCTAGCTAGTTCCTGCGCGTAGGCAGGATATGCTATTATAAACAAGCGTTAATTAGTGAGTATATCAAAAGTAACTATCACTTCACTACCAGTTTACACTAATGTGAAAGTTACCACTGTTAGTGAAGTCGTCATTGTCACAACTGTTACCACTGTCATCACCCTCACCACTGAATGTCGCCGCCCTATATGATGTTCATTGAGGACAAATTCCAGTTACTCTGTTACGGAAAACTTGAGGAAATAATAGCTAAAACGTAGTATAAAACAAATTCTAACCACACAACAGAGCGAAGAACTACTGTGAAGGACTTGGGAAATGATAATGTCAGAGGATCTCACCTTCAAGAGTCACAACAGTATCACTATCACGTGAGGAAAATGACAGAATGGATAATGAGAACTTTCAAAATAAGGGATGCCATGCCAATAATGATCCTCTTTAAGTCACTCGTTATCTCTAGGCTGAAATACTGCTGTACACTAACAGCCTATTCAATACACAAATAACCCGCACATAAAAGAGAGAAACTTACGACGACGTTTCGGCCCGACTTGGACCAGATACAGAGAATGTATGGAGAACCTTTACTGCAAGTATTAGTTCAGTCAAGCACCTTAATTACTGAGAACGTTTGACGTTCCTTGACCTGTACTCCCTGGAATGTATGCAAGAAAGATATATCATAATTTACCCATGGAAAATCCTAGAGGGACTGGCCCCAAATCTGTGCACAGAAATCACTCCTTAGGAAAGTAAAAGACTCGGCAGACGGTGCAACATACTCCTAACGAGTGCACTCAGAGGAAACACAATAAATAGCCGGGGCCCAAGACTCTTCAACAGCCTCCTATTATACATAAGGGGAATTATCAACAGACCCCTGGCTGTCTCCAAGAAGGAACTGGACAGATACCTAAATTCAGTGCCCGATCAGCCGGGCTGTTCGTGTGCGACCAGCAGTTACAGCCTGGTTGGTAAGGGCCTGATCCACCGAGCAGTGAGGGCGTTGAACCCCGTAACAACCTCCAGGTGGACCCTCAGTATTCTTACTGCTGATTCTTACCCCTGATCCACCGAGCAGTGAGGGCGTTGAACCCCGTAACAACCTCCAGGTGGACCCTCAGTATTCTTACTGCTGATTCTTACCAATGTCACAACAGTCCTGATGTGAGTCATCAGCCTCCCCACATCACGCTGTTTAAAGGCTCATAATAACAGTTTTGACACCATTACTGTTCCATGTATGGCGTTGCAAATGTGCTTTATGTAAATTATATGGCGAAAAACTAATGTAAAAGTATCTGAAGATTTACATTACATAACGACTAAAAAGTAGCGTTTAAAACGTAATACTAAAAAAAAGTGACGCTTAAAACGTAATACTAAAAAAGTGACGCTTAAAACGTAAAACTTAAAACACACAACACTTCAAATGTAATGCTTAAGACGTACTCCCATCCTTTCTAAAGTTACCTGAAGGGAGAACACTTTAGCTATGTCTCCTGTGTATGGGAGAGGCCAGCCTGGGTGATGGTAATTCTTAAGTGATAGTAACTCCAGCTATGCTGAAAGGAAACCTCTCAAGCCGCCCTGGCTGATGAACCTTTGCTGGAAAACTTGTGTATAAATGGTTTAGAAAACAGACAAGTTGATAAATAAGACTTGTGCAACAAATGGAAACGTTTCCCCACGCAGTGGCTTCTTCAGTCCAATGCAGAGAAAGGTAGGTGAAAGATGAGGAGTTTGAGGTAATCAGTCCTGCAGCCTAGAATCGACTCTATCTTATGTGATGCAACATGACAGGGAAACGTAAATAGTTACCCTCCCACTGTGTAACTGTGCAGGATGGCAGCACACTGATGATGTATCCAATTTTAATATTAAAAAAAATACATTGGAAGTGTACATGAACCCTCAATACACAGTTTCAATAGAACACATTGAGAAGAACCCATTAAGTAGAACTTGCTGAAACAACCCAATAAAACAAAACCCACTGAAACAGAACCCACTAAAATATAATCCACTGAAATAGAACCCGCTGAAACAGAACCCACTAAAATATAATCCACTGAAATAGAACCCGCTGAAACAGAACCCACTAAAATATAATCCACTGAAATAGAACCCGCTGAAACAGAACCCACTAAAATATAATCCACTGAAATAGAACCCGCTGAAACAGAACCCACTAAAATATAATCCACTGAAATAGAACCCGCTGAAATAGAGCCCACTGAAATATAATCCACTGAAATAGAACCCACTGAAATAGAATCCAGTGAATTTGTCAAATAAACTTTCAATGAATATTATTTATGAAATTAATATAAACAACCCAAATCTTTTATTTTTTTTTTTATTTCCCGGTGCAAAACAAATAACTTATCTGCTCTGTAAAAAATTGGAAATTTCATAAAAAATACACGAGCCAAAAAAAAAAAAAAAATATGGCAGGCATAGTTGGAATTCCTGGATATCTGACTCGCTGAGCTGTTATGATTGTTACAAGACCTATGAAAAACGAATGAACAGACTGCCTTTAGATTTCACAATTTGAGTGTGCGCGCGCGCGTGTGTGTGTACTCACCTATTTGTACTCACCTATTTGTGGTTGCAGGGGTCGAGTCCTAGCTCCTGGCCCCGCCTCTTCACCGGTTGCTACTAGACCCTCTCTCTCCCCGCTCCATGAGCTTTATCAAACCTCGTCTTAAAACTGTGTATGGTTCCTGCCTCCACTACGTCATTTTCTAGGCTATTCCACTGCCTTACAACTCTATGACTGAAGAAATACTTCCTACTACTCTCTGACTCATTTGTGTCTTCAACTTCCAATTGTGGCCTCTTGTTTCTGTGTCCCCTCCCTGGAACATCCTGTCCTTGTCCACCTTGTCTATTCCACGCAGTATTTTATATGTCGTTATCATGTCTCCCCTGACCCTCCTGTCCTCCAGTGTCGTCAGGCCGATTTCCCTTAATCTTTCTTCATAGGACATTCCCCTTAGCTCTGGAACTAACCTTGTTGCAAACCTTTGTACTTTCTCTAGTTTCTTGACGTGCTTTATCAAGTGCGGGTTCCAAACAGGTGCTGCATACTCCAGTATGGGCCTGACATACACGGTGTGTGTGTGTGTGTGTGTGTGTGTGTGTGTGTGTGTGTGTGTGTGTATGTGTGTTGTATTTGTTGATGTTTACTGTGTGTGTGATGGAGAGTGAGGGAAGTGGATGAGTGGGAGAGTTGGTGAGGGAAGTGGGTGAGTGGCGAGAGAGAGGAACAAACTAAGAGTGCTGAGAGAGACGTGGATAAGAGTGGGTTCCGGGTATTTATGCACCATCCACCTCTCCTGAGGAGGAAAATTCCTGCAAATTGTAAAAAAGATTCAGAAACATGTAATGACTAGACTGCAAGTTAATATCCTCAATACTTGCTACTGCAACAGACAAACAGACTGGGCAGGGAGAACTAAGCAGTGCCTCCCTGGTGTGGCTGTGGTTGAAAGTTCCATCGCGTTCCACAACCCCTCCTTCTTTCTCCATCTCTCTCCCTCTCTCACTCTCTCCCCTCCTTCCGCCCACGGAACCAGGCACTGTCCGACCGACTTTTACTTTCGTGAGAGTGGCATCGGTGTGGGGCTCGCGTGAGGGCCCTGGCTCAGGTTATCAGTGGTGTGCAGCCGTAGCGGCCGCATCTCCTAGTGGTCTCTCCACTCGCTACCACAACTACTCCCTCAGCCTTGTTATAAACCTCAAGCTTATAACTGCGACGGCCGCCACACAACGGACAGGCCTACCGCCACCATGACTTTACTTAAGGTAAGTGAAGTTTAATATCACTCAGCCTGCCGGGGCACACTGCTCTCAGACCGTCTCTGCAGGTCAATGACCTCCATTCTCAAGCAGGAAGTTGTTACCGCAGTATTTATTCATCTTACCTCGTTGGATTTACTAAGAGATATGTTGTGCCGTATTGTGAAGGATCCTATCAGGGTCAACCAGTGCCACAGTGTTGACCATATAATCAAGAGATCATGGGAAGGCAGCTTCAGGTGTGCCAGTGACGCGGAGAACATGATCACGGGCCATTCAGAGCAGGTCCCAGAAAATATGCTTCAGGGAGGCGCAGAAGCCTGGTTGTATCTCTCTTCTTGGAGTATAATCTCTCTCTCTCTCTCTCTCTCTCTCTCTCTCTCACCTTTAATCTTCTCGCTTTCTCTTGCCCTTCCCCCACTCTCTCTTGCTTTCTCGTCCTCATTGCCTACTCTCGCAACTCGTCCTAAAAGATAATATGAACGAAATAAAAACTACCAAACACTCCTTTATCATTGACTGTCTCGTCAAGTGTTAACTCAAGTGCTAACGTTACGGAAACGTCATCTAATGTTTCTTCTCTAAGTGTAGGCCACTCGTGAATCTAAATATATTCTTGGCTTATATACTAGTGACTTTGTCGACAATCCTTTCCACGCTAAGATCTTCAATACATTATTGCTATCTATGGATATGAAAAAGAAGTCCTGTGGTAATGTTTGGTAGTATCTTCAGCTTCCAACCGTGAGGAAATTTACTCTTTGACTATGATAAGTGTTCGCATCCTGTGCGTTAGGGACTGTCAGTATGTTATGGTCCCCAGTGTTTACACAACTGGTACTTTTACGATATTGTGAAATACTCATTTAAATTTCCTGGTCAGATATTCCAGGTCTCAGCCTGATATAAACTATATTCAGTCCACGACTCGGCTGTTTGCTAAAGTTAGCTCTCCACGACTCAGCTGTATGCCTGGAGACTAAGTAGAGCCCAGTCCCAGACCAGCCCTCCTGGCAGTTGGCATGATCAATCAAGTTGTTAATGTCCGCCGCCCGCACTCCAAAGTATGCACCACAACCCGGCTCATCAGAGATTATTTTGAGGAATTTGCCGAGTTTTCTCTTTAAGACAGCAGGGGTTTTATTAGTAATCCTCCTCGTGCACGAAGAGAGGATATTGAGTCGTGGTCTCTTTACACTTATTGAGCTCTTTCAAGGTACTCAATGCTCCCTTGCTTTTCACTGGAGGTATCCTGTATCATCTGCCAAGCCTCGTGTTTATCAATAGTAATTCTGGTGTGTAAGTTTGGGGCCAATCCCTTCAGTATATTCCAGACGTAGATAATGATGTAGCTTTCTCGCCTACGTTCTAAAAAGTACTGTTCTAGAGACTTCAATCACTTACAGTAATTTAGGTGCTTGAATGAGTTTATACAAGCTGTGAAAGTTCACTATACATTGCTCAGTAATATCGCCTGCCATGAAGAAGGCCGTTAGTATACAGTAATATCCCAGCTTGGAGAGAACGCGTGGCCTGTATTGCATCATCATTGGCCTGGCGTCTCTTGTTTTGAAAGCTCTAGCTATCCAGCCAATTATTTTTCTTGTAGTTGCGATGAAAACTTTGTTGTGCTCCTTGAATGTGATATCTTCTGACATTATCACGCATAGGTCTCTCACGTTTAACTTACGTTCTATTGAGTGGTTTGCGTTCGTCTTGTACTACAATCTGCCCTCTATGACACAGCTACATACATTAGTCAGCCCTTTCCGACTCAGTTATATGCTACAGTCAACCCTTCACGTCCAGTGCTGGTGATATTGAGAATTATGCCGGGGAAAGTGGCCCGTGGGGGATATTTTGGGAATCTGGTGAAAATACGTTGCTCTTAAGTGTAAATGTAAGTGTAAATCTAAGTGGTGTGTATTCCTCGCTTATGGTTTAGAAAGACACGTAAGCAAACACTATGACATATTTATTAGAAAACGTTTCGGTCCTGGGACCTTGATCACTTCTAACGTTTTCTAATAAATATGTCATAGTGTTTGCTTACGTGTCTTTCTAAACCAACTTGTCGGTATTTATTACCAAGGTTTATACCATTCCTCGCTTATAAACCATAATGATCAGTTAGTAAGTGCTCCCTGGTCTGCCACTAGTAAGGAACACTCAACCTAGGAGGCACTGTTTGCCACTAGTAAGGAGCACTAAACCTAGGAGGCATTGTTTGCCACTAGTAACTAGCACTCAGCCTAGGAGTCACTGTTTGCCACTAGTAAGGAGCACTCAAACCTAGGAGGCACTGTTTGCCACTAGTAACTAGCACTCAGCCTAGGAGGCACTGTGTGCCACTAGTAAGGAGCACTCAGAACCTAGAAGACACTGTAGGCCACTAGTAAGGAACAATAAGAACTTAGGAAGCACTGTCTGCCACTGGTAAGGAACAATAAGAACTTAGGAAGCACTGTCTGCCACTGGTAAGGAACAATAAGAACTTAGGAAGCACTGTCTGCCACTGGTAAGGAACAATAAGAATTTTAGGAAGCACTGTCTGCCACTGGTAAGGAACAATAAGAACTTAGGAAGCAGTCTGCCACTGGTAAGGAACAATAAGAACTTAGGAAGCACTGTCTGCCACTGGTAAGGAACAATAAGAACTTAGGAAGCACTGTCTGCCACTGGTAAGGAACAATAAGAACTTAGGAAGCCTGTCTGCCCTGGTAAGGAACAATAAGAACTTAGGAAGCACTGTCTGCCACTGGTAAGGAACAATAAGAACTTAGGAAGCACTGTCTGCCACTGGTAAGGAACAATAAGAACTTAGGAAGCACTGTCTGCCACTGGTAAGGAACAATAAGAACTTAGGAAGCACTGTCTGCCACTGGTAAGGAACAATAAGAACTTAGGAAGCACTGGTGGCATTATTCTCAGAAGAAACGTGAACATTTCTTCCCTGACGCGAGTGTCAGTCATATGATGACTTGCTCGCTGCAGTTTTTGGTCATTTAGCGAAGGCTTTCAGCTGGTGTATCGCCTTACCTAGTACACACGTTACATATAACATGACTGAATTACCTAGTACACACGTTACATATCACATCATTGGCTTACCTAGTACACACGTTACATATCACATCACTGGCTTACCTAGTGCACACGTTACATATCACATCACTGGCTTACCTAGTACACACGTTACATATCACATCACTGGCTTACCTAGTACACACGTTACATATCACATCACTGGCTTACCTAGTACACACGTTACATATCACATCACTGGCTTACGCAGGTTATCTAGTACAAAAGTTACGTCACATTGCCAGTCCACCAGTATAAACACTACGTATTACATTATAATAAGTGATAGGAGAAATAATGAAACATAAATCAGACGTAAGATATAACCACGTTACCAGCAAATACAGATAGTATATACTGGGTTGTTTAAAAAATATAACCACGTTACCGACAAACACAGTTATTATATACTGGATTATTTACAAATATAACGTTACCAACAAACACAGGCAATATACTGGGTCATTTACAAATATAACCAGGTTACCAACAAACACAGTCAATATACGGGGTCATTTACAAATAAACCAGTTCCCAACAAACACAGGCAATATACTGGGTCATTTACAAATATAACCAGGTTACCAACAAACACAGGCAATATACTGGGTCATTTACAAATATAACCAGGTTACCAACAAACACAGTCAATATACTGGGTCATTTACAAATATAACCTGGTTACCAACAAACACAGTCAATATACTGTGTCATTTACAAATATAACCAGGTTACCAACAAACACAGTCAATATATTGTGTCATTTACAAATATAACCAGGTTACCAACAAACACAGTCAATATACTGTGTCATTTACAAATATAACCAGGTTACCAACAAACACAGTCAATATATTGTGTCATTTACAAATATAACCAGGTTACCAACAAACACAGTCAATATATTGTGTCATTTACAAATATAACCAGGTTACCAACAAACACAGTCAATATATTGTGTCATTTACAAATATAACCAGGTTACCAACAAACACAGTCAATATACTGCGTCATTTACAAATATAACCAGGTTACCAACAAACACAGTCAATATACTGGGTCATTTACAAATATAACCAGGTTACCAACAAACACAGTCAATATACTGGGTCATTTACAAATATAACCAGGTTACCAACAAACACAGTCATATACTGGGCCATTTACAATATAACCAGGTTACCAACAAACACAGTCAATATACTGGGCCATTTACAAATATAACCAGGTTACCAACAAACACAGTCAATATACTGGGCCATTTACAAATATAACCAGGTTACCAACAAACACAGTCAATATACTGGGTCATTTACAAATATAACCAGGTTACCAACAAACACAGTCAATATACTGGGTCATTTACAAATATAACCAGGTTACCAACAAACACAGTCAATATACTGCGTCATTTACAAATATAACCAGGTTACCAACAAACACAGTCAATATACTGGGTCATTTACAAATATAACCAGGTTACCAACAAACACAGTCAATATACTGCGTCATTTACAAATATAACCAGGTTACCAACAAACACAGTCAATATACTGGGTCATTTACAAATATAACCAGGTTACCAACAAACACAGTCAATATACTGCGTCATTTACAAATATAACCAGGTTACCAACAAACACAGTCAATATACTGCGTCATTTACAAACGGAAAAGCACACATAAAAAAATATATTACATATCATTACATTGTGATGGAATGAGAGGTAAGTAATGATGATAAGGCAGATACTGGCAAATTACTGAGAATAACGGTGCCTCAGAGGGCAGAGGAAGAGCATATATACATAGTGGATATCTCCAGGGGCTGACTTCAACCTTGTCAGTGACTCTTGATTCCGGAAGCTACACCTGTCTCCTCCTCCTCTGATCTAACCAGACTGTCTTTTATTCATATTTTG